CTCGCATATATGAGCCTTAATAATCTTTTCAAAGACTTTGCCAAGGATGGAGGTGAGACTGACTGGCCTATAGTTGCCTGGATCCTCCTTCCTCCCCTTCTTGAAAATAGGGACCACATTGGCCCTTTTCCAGTCCTCCGGGACCTGGCCCATGCGCCACGAGCGTTCAACTATTCTTGCCAGTGGCTGTGCAATAACGTCAACCAGTGCCTTCAGTACCCTCGGACGGGGCTCATCCGGGCCTGCCGACTTAAAGGCATCCAGTTCTTCCAAGTGCCTCTGCACCATCTCAGGGTCAACGCTTGGTAGTCTGGTGCCCTGCTGTTGTCTCTACAATCTCATTGTGAGACTTGTCGTGCCCCTCGCTTAGGAACACTGAGGCAAAGAACTCATTGAGGAGTTCAGCCTTGTCCCCCCTGCCTGTCACCAATTGCTTTTGCCCATTCAGTAGCGGTCCTATTCTGCCCTGGGCCTTTCTTTTACTCCTTATATATGTGAAAAACAATTTTTTTGTTATCCTTAACTTGGGATGCCATCCTTAACTTGGGAAGTTGTTTTCTAATTAAGCAGTTTCCTAGTTAAGCCCTGAAGCAGGTTACCTTGGGGAGCTGCAGAATCCTTGTTACTGGAGGGCTTGTAAGCAAACATCTGTGAAGGATGGTTTAGGTCTATTTTACCTGCCTCAACACAGGGAGCTGCGCCAGATGGCCTCTGGGGTTGTCTCTACCAAGTCCTGGGAAGAACAGGGCTGAGGCCACCCCATCCACCCGAGTCCAATGATCCACTCCAGAGCCAAAAAGTTCACTAGCAAGTCTGCTCTGGGCTCCTCCCCAGTTTCAAGGCTTTGGTCCCTGAGGTCTAATGTGCTCTCCATGGACCACGTATAGACAAACCTCTTGAGACTGCTCCTGGCCCTGCGGTTTTGTGTTTCTCAGAACCTAAACTACACCCTCCTCAACAACTGCAATTGCTGCTGCACTTGTATAAAACGGTCACTATTCACACATGCCACTGTAGAATGTGCTGCTAGACTATAAAGTGAAAACAGCTGCCAGAAACAGCTCCTAAAAAGTAGACAAGGCTTTTTAAGCTTTCACTTTGCTGATCTCTTCAACTTTGGAAAAGGAGTGCATTGCACAAAGCAGAGGTCTTCTGCAAAGCAACTTTTCTTGCCATTTCTGCAATCAAGAATGCCCTTCATTAGGCCTTGTGCCCAGATGTTTCATTAACAATGAATCATGACAAAAGACTGTTTTTTATCTATCTTATATTAGGCCTGCCAAGGGGCAGAGTTATTATAGCAGCTCTGATGTTGACAGCTCTCAATACTAGATACTGTTGGTCCCCTTATCATAGCATCCAGAAAATTCATTTTAAAAAACAGGAAATAATAGGCTGAATATCAGAACACACTATTGAGAAATGTAGTAGCTAGGGAACAGAGAAAGTCTTATGGTGTCCATGGCCAGCAGCGTATACAGAGTATCAGGTCTAGGAATAATGAGATGCCCCCAGGCTTTCAGACCATCAAATTCCAGGCAATATCTGAAAACTTTCCACTGGCATGACCAGTGTGGGGAAAACAGCTCACAGATTAGGAGATTAAAAAATTAAATTAAACTCGCCATACTGAGCAGGCAGCTCTTATGTATCTGCTGTGACTCAAACCCAGAATGGTCTCTCTCAGCAGCCAGCTCCTTCATCTTTTAAAAAAAAAGTGTTACACCTACATACAAATACAAACCGATTCTCCTCAACTGGTGTTTCCTGACTCCAGAGATGCTTGGTCCACTGATCAGAGCATGCATGCACATATTGCTATGTCAGTGCAAGACAGCATACAGGTTCTGGTGGAAACCTCTGGACTCCCCTCATTCGCTTGCATTGCCTATTTGCAAATGGGATCTGCACTCCATTTATTTCTCCTGACATCCGTTTGCTTGGTGCCATCCGTGCTAAATGGCCTCAAACCATCTTTCCATTTATCTTCCTGCATGGTGCTTTGAGAGAAGGCAACATCTTGTGGTAAGAAAAGCAGCAACAATTTAGATTTTGCTAAAGAGCCTTTTGCGCACCTTGTCTTGTGGTAGGATGAAGCATTGGTTCTTTCCTTCTTGCAGGCATCGCTTTGGTGTGTGCATAGTTCACAGTGGCCCAGATGGGTACCACAAGGTTCTGGAGACTCTCTGGCCAAGGAACAGACCCGATGGACACCCCCCTCACCCTCCCTGGCCTCCAGACCCCAAATACATCCTATGTGCAAGAGCAGGTGCAACCTGCCCCATAACTGCTCAGCCCTATCACTTGAGCTAGAGATCACTGTATTCTGGCCTCAGCAGTTAGTTTTATAGGAACCCCGAGCAGTATTTTCATGGGGCCGTCAGAATTTAGATGCCCAGCTGGCAGGCAAACTCAAGAGATAAGCAAATTCCATGGGCAAACCCAGCCCATGGGCACCTGGAAAACCCCCAGCCTCAATGCAATTGCTAGAGTATATGGCTGCATTTCTGGCACCCTACACTCCTTATGGTCTAATTTATCTTCTCTTCTCAAGTGCTTTACCCCAGCATCCCTTTCTATACACAAGACCAGGTTGCAAAGGGAAGCAGGCAGGAAACAGGGCTGCAGCCTGTCAGGGAAGAGCATCCTGAGGGCTGGTCACACAGACTGCCAGATTTGCCTCCTGAAATGTAGCCACCTCTGAGAAGGAATCCAGCAGCTGTTTACTGCCCATGGGAATATCATCTAGTTTATAGGGAGGGAGTAAAATATACTGTATCAATAATGAAAATGCAAGAGACTCAGGAGTCAGAGTGTAATTTAGCCAGAAACATAAGAACTGACACTGCTATGACTGCAAAACCTCCTCAGCTGTAACCACACAAGAGAGTTGTTTTACATCTATTTTTTTTTAAATTGCAATTATCTACAGCAACCTATGCATCAGTTCTTCCTGGATGCATTGCAGGTTTAAAGTCTTTACCACCAAGGCTTGAGTCTTTGCCATAAAGCAGCTTCATGTAGTTTGAGCTCTGTCACGTGACATTTCTGTTAATGCATCATAACGACAATTTGCAAAAAAACAAGTCTCTGCCCTTCCCGAAAGATGCTGGCACTTAGCTCAATGCCCATGCTGGAGCCTAAATACAGCTGAGGTCTGAAAAAGTAGGTAAAGCTATTTTTTAGTGTCCTGGCTTCATTGCACTGGGCTACATCCCACAGTACTACTTCAGAACCAAGGCAAAACTCATTGTGGGGTGGGGGGGAAAAGCCAACAGATCTCTGAAAGTTTTCCCACCTTCCCCTCCAAATGAACAATGTGAGCAGCTGCAGAACGTATAAGGGGTACATGAGTGAAACTCTTCAAATCACCAGAGCTTACCTCTGGATTTCTCAGCAATGCCACACAGTAGTACAAGATCTATTGCTTTCCCAGTTTGCATCATAGGTGCAAAGAAGCACCCACTGACTGGTTTATAAATTTGGTTCAAGTGACTGACTTTACACATGTGATCAGCACCTCACAGGCTAGGTACGCATCAACCTAGGTACCCACTATACTCTGAGCATAGTCTTATTCCTTACTGTGAGACTCTGATTAGACGCACGTTGGCACCATTTCAGTTCAACCAGAGAATATCCACAGAGAAGGCTGTAGCAGCTTTAAAACATCCTACCTTCTTAAACTAGCCCTTGCACGCTAGAGCTCAGTTTTAGCAGGAATATTTGCAGAGGAGGGGAATTAATCACATGCAAGGCATCTGTGTCATGGTGAAGTTTAACCAATCTTTCTCCCATCCCAACCCTTCAGCACAAACAATACAATCGCATTTTGGCCTTTTTGAAACAAAACATATCATTTGAAAATGAAATGTCACTTTAAAGTGTTCTTCAATTTAATTTAAGATGCAAACCTTGAAAACCCCTGACTTGGAAGTGATGTGTTTTCAGAATGACTGGTAAACCCATGACTTCAACCCCAAAATGTCAGTTAGTGGCACAACTCGAGTACCAATCCCTGAAACCTCTTTCAGCACAGCCCATGAGCTCTCATTCTGTTATGTGAACCATCAAAACGCTCCTGCCTCTCTCATCTTTTGCAGGATACTGCCTCACAGGTCCACTGGTGAAGATGACAAGGGAGCAAAGACAGCGTGTCTGTCCATAAATAATTTGATCACTGAAGACTATCAACCTTTAATTAGATTTTACCTGGGAAGAACAGGAGTCGACTGCATCCTAGGGAAACCTGCTGTTGTCGACTCTCTGCGCACAAGGGGAAGGAACTGAAGAGATGGAAAGTCCTGAAAAGCAGAATGGAGATCAGGTCTTAGCTTTATCTCAGATACCATGTAGCTCGAGACAGAAACAGGGGTAGAAAAGAGGCCCCATGATTCAAGGGAGACATGTGCAAGAGAAAAGAGCTTAGTGGGCAGAGTCCAGTCTGCAGGCTGGATTGGGTCCTCAGTAGACTCCATTTCCCAGCAGCCCCTGCCTGCGTCGCTGCTGCCGGTTTCCATGGAGACCCTAGCAGTGGCAGAGCCATGGCAGCGAAGGGCTAGGGTTTCAATGAAGCCCCAGCATCACTGGCAGGGCGCTGCTCCAGGGCTGGGATCCTACAGCGGAGACAGCATGGTCCGGACCTGGGCCACAATGTGATGTGCTGCCTGGACGCTCCGGGTAGGGGCACGCAGGAAGCAGATCACAGCTCTCCCCCGGCTCTGGACCACACTGTCGCCACTGCAAGATCCCAGGCCTGGCCCCGGAGCAGCTCCCTGCCCAGCCATGCACCCTGCCAGCTTTGCTGGCGCCGGTCAGGAAAACCCTGGCCCTGCGCTGCTCCTGGAGTCTCCATGGAGACTGACTGCAGCGACACAGGCAGGGGATGCTGGGAGATGGAGTCCGGCTGTCGGCCAGATGCACCATTTTGCCCATCCTGGCTTAGATTTTGACTAAGGACAAGGGACTCTCACAAAAGGAGAGAAAGCTTAAGCAGGGAAAGGCACTGGAGTATTTTACAGTGCAGTTTAGAGCTATAGATGCCTTATGCTGGCTAAAGAAAAAAGCGGTTGGCTCTGGAAACCTGGTGGCTTCCACGATCGTATGTGACTGATGATAGAAACTGTAAGCCAATATGCCGAGTAGCGGGACTGCAGAAAAGAGACTGCTGAAACAGTTGCAGATTGAGAGGTTAATCTTAGTCTTGGGACCCTCGAATCCAGCTTCCCTAAACTCCCATTTCTGTGAAGGAGTAACAGGGAGTGCCAGGGAAAAGGAAGGGCTCAAGAGAGGCCAAGGAAAGAAACAACCCTAACATCTAGGTAGATCAAAGGAAGCTTAAGACACGGTTCCAGGCTGGGCATCCAGCCAGGGGACAGGGAAGGGAGCCGTACCCAGACAGTGACAGTCTGCAAAAGCCCCAGCACTAAGACCTGGCCTGGTGGCATTCCCACATCTGTCTCCTTAAGAGACCAGATCACCTCTGCTCCATTTACAAGCAAAAAGGCTTTTCTCCCAGCTCAGCAGACCAGAGTGGGTGTCTGGCTCGCACACACGTCATTGAGAAGCGTTCTGCCATCAAAACCCACTTGATTAATTCCTTTGACAGGGTGTAGACCCATTCAGCTGTGGGATTAGTCCACCATTCACCCTGCTCTTATTTTTAAACATGGGCACTTATGTTCACGTGTCCTTGCTCTCTTTGCTGGGCTATTTATTTCCCCTCCTTCTAAATATAACTCGTGCCTTAGCATTTGAACACTATTAGATCACAAGGGGAGTGGAATGCAGCAAATTTAATACATAGCCATGGGGCAGCTGAAAAGCAGCATCCAAGGACACTGCTGCATGCTGTTCACAGCAACCAATCCCCCAACACACCACACAAACACAGCAGGACACTGAAGAGGCACAGCTGTCTCTGGAGTGGAGGACAACGGGACAGGACTAGATGAGCCAGGAGGCTTTCTTCAGTCTTTTAGCAGCATTGGCACAGCAGGGAGAGTGGGGACAAGTTCCTGTCAACCACAGAGAAAGGCCGGCTCTCTGAGGCTGCACTGGAGAGGCTGGATCAAGCTAAGCCTGTGTTCAGGTCTCTCGAGGGAAACCCACCCACTCAACTGCAGTTTTACTCAGTTTCTTCTTACGCTGGCAGAATAAAGCGAATGCTGCTTTAACCTCAGCTTGCCTATATGCTGGCTGTACGCACTACCTAATACTCCCCCCTCCAAACCCTTCTGATACTCAGGCTGGAATAACCAGGTACTTCTTCTTCACAGCTGTGCCGGCTGGGGGCAGCACCCAACACAAGCACAGAGCAGAGCTCAACCTCAGGCATCCGGAGCTACAGCAAGATCCCTTCACTTCTTGGATTTGATGATGCCCCAGCAAAAAGTGAATGAAACCCTTTATAAACACATCATGTGTCTGCCCCAGCCAGGACACACTCCAGCCACAGCCACAGCCCACTGTCCTCACAGGAATTGCACTAGGACGAGAGAGAGGGGCAAGGGCAACACAGCAGCAAACCCCTAAAAGCAGGGGGCATCAGAAACCCCCTTAAACAGCAGCATCATACCTGACACCAGAGCAAGAAACCGCTTTGCCTGAGGAGAAGGCTGCCTGGCTGTGCAATCATCTGCACCTGAGCCCAGCCTAGCCCTCACAGCTGTAGCCAGTGGCCTCATTAAGCATCCAAAGGCCTGGCCACCTTTCCTTGCCCGTCCCTAGCCTGGCATGCAACCTGATGGCATGGCTCTGTGGCTTCCCCTCACAGCTGCCCTTTCTGTAGGTTTTAGGAGCCTGCCAGGTTCCCAAGGGCATATTTTAGGCACCTAATGGAGCAGGTGGCACTGAGTGTGGCTTAAAGCAGCCCTGAATTGAATGAGACACCTCCCACTTTCTTCTGTAGCTCCCGTGAGGCTGGATTGTAGGCCCCCTGGTGTCTTTGGAAAGCTGGCCCTCCGGGATAAGCAGGAGCACTCAAACTCTCATCTCTTTCTGTGCTGTCTCCCACATCAGTCCCCTTGCTCCACCTCCCCACCCATACAAGTCTTTCTGAATCTCTTATTTTGGCCACATAGGCCCAGGGCCAAATTCACTGTAGATGTAACTACCTCACTGAGGTTTTTCTCCCCCACCCCAGTAAGCCATACTCAGAGAAGAACCTGTTTGCATTGGCTGGTCCCAAAGCTCCCTGTTTCCTAGACGGCTTCCTCTGACCTCCTGCCAGGCTGACTGCCATGCAAATTAGTCACCATGTTTATCACCTACCACTTCAGCTTCTTTTCTAAGCGGCTTTTTGCACCTGTCACCATGGATGGCCTTAAACAAAGCAACTGTTCTTGTCCTTTGTCTTCGTGCCTGGCACTTCCTGATGACCAAAGTCCCATGCCCTGCCAGATCTCTGCTACCCAGCTCCCTGCCAACATCAGAACGATGCCATGAAAATTAGCATGTGAGTATATCCCTAGGCTAAATCATATCCATGTGAGGCATGAAAAGCTAAGGGCTGGTGAGGGAGCTGGCTTTGTAAAACCTACTCGCTAGGGCAGATGATTCTCCAGTATAATTTCACCGACTTCTCTGTAAACACTCCAGCGTCACACTGGTGTTCGCAAGAAGAGAATCAAGCTTAATGTGGCTAACGCTTACGACAGGGTCTGGCTTGTGGCTTCTAGTCCAAAATTCCCACGGATTTAGCCAGGGGTTCAGAAAGGTACTTGGACCCAAGTTGGGCCTCGAGTGTACAGAGCAGGGAGGGACATGGAGATGAGAGGCATTTTCCTCCCTTGCATGGGTCTTGTCATGCCAGGCAGATTGATGAACCACTGTTCTTGTCAGGTCAGCCCCCCCCCTTGTGCTGGGTTAAGGATTCAAAATGGGTGCTGGAATCATTCACTTCACAGTGTGTTATTCAGCCACTAGACATCTCTGTATGATGCTTAAAGGGATGGATAAGGTGCCTTCCTAGGTAAATAAAATACACCAGGCTGGAACACAAGCTGGGTGGACAGGAGCTTGCTTGCTTGTTTTTTTGCATCTATTTGTGTAACACCTGCCTCCTATTTCCTCAAAGCAGATGCTCAAAACTATCTACACTCAGACCAAGCTTAACTTTATGTCCCATTGAAGCCTTTCAGCATTGAATGGGGGCAGATGGTCGTATTGGGGTAAAACAGGAGTGAATCCAAATACCGGGGCAGGCATGAAGAAGCTGGCAGCAAAATTCTGCATGGATGAGGTTGAAATATTTGCTAATTCCTACTCAGCCTCTGGAGCTGGGTGAAAGCTTGCTCCTGCCCTTACATTTTAATATCCTCCAATGTTATTATGGATGTCTGCTCTGCGCGTCGGTCAGGTGTATTTGACTGTGAATTATACAGCAAAGTAGTAACTTGTCTGAGATAATGAGCTGGATTGCAGGGGTGAGGTCAAGCCTCTCGCCCTCACCTGTCAGTGTTTGTTTCTGCATGTAGGTTTGCTCTTCTAAGTGCCCCTAACCTTCAAAGGCTTTACAAGGCTAAAGGGAATAATTAAAAATCTTCTCCTCTCAGAAATCAGATGCAAAGAACAGTTCCCCAGGTTTGCCTGTGCCTTGTGTTGTAGAGAAGACCATGAAGAGGAACTAAGATCTGGAAGATAAAAGGCAGCCCCCAAAGCATGGTGTGAATGCAGCCCTGAATATGCTCATTAAGTGTGCTAGGAAAGATGGTTTCTCATGGTGAGAATCAGGGGTTGAAGTGAGGGGAGGTGTTCTAGGTTCTGCCCCTGGCCAGCTGTGGTTCTGGATACTGTGTAAGTGGAGTCCATGGGCATTGTGACCTGCCTTTTCTGTAGCACCAGCTACAGCTTAAGAGAGAGACTGTCTCTCAGAGACTTTCCTGGCTTTCCCCACCACCTGGCCTCGTGGCTTCTCTCCGGGAATAATTTTCTTGTGGCAACTGTTTACTTAGAAAGGTAAAGCCAGAGAAGCATTTGATTTATTTTGACCTTCTTTTAATTTACTGCAGCAGCCAGAAGGGAGGAGGAGATGAAAGTAAGCACAGTACACCCAGCCAGCTCTTTCAATGGTTTACAATCCATGGGCAACTGTCTACTGTAAGCCGCGTGGATTGCTGAGCACTGCGCTAGTAGCTGCTGCGGGCATGTGTTGGTATGCTGTTGCCCCCGTTCAGCCATCTGGAGGCTTGGGATGAAAATATATTTGCTGGAACCTACAGGCTTTGTATTACAACATCTGACTTAGTCTGGCCCAAGGCAAGGGAGAGCAGCAGTGGGGAGGAGACATGGGTTTTAGCTGAAATTCTCCATCTCTCTGCACATAATCAGTGAGCAGTCAGGAGGATGTGAAACATGGGGTTAAAGCCAGCCCTGTAGACTTACAGGTTGGTCCTAGACTGAGATGGATGACTGGGTCCCCAACCCTGCACCCCTTTGAATACAGGCTGCAGGTTTCTCTTTCACTAGCAACTAGTCCCCTATTAAGTCAGGGGCTGGAAAACACCCAGCTGTGGATACCTAGATTTATTTGCTGACAAGCCCAAAGTGCTTGTTGCAAAGTCTGACTTGCTGCCATTCTTCTCAACCTCTGAGGAGCCCAGAGGGCACAGAGCATGCCTTGCAGCCACACAATAACAACAAAGTCCTGTCTGGCAGAAGAGGAGAAGGGAATGTGTTTATATTGCATGTGTTTAAGCCTAGAAATGGGAATGCTATGTTGAAACCTAATGTGGCCATAAAAGCAACAAAGGAGACAGTCTGATGAACCCAAGTAGATGCACAGCCCAACAGCTTTTGGTTAAAAGGGACTGGTAGTATTTTGAGCAGCATTTACTATTTTAGCCTCTTTATGATGGTTTCCATATGCATTCAGTGTTTGCTTTACTGCAGAATTCCAGGATGCAATTTCTTTGGAAAGGACTGAGGACTATCAACACCCACCACACCAGCATTTTCACATGATGAGTGTTAACTCTATGCTGTTTTCTGAAAGGGCTGCGTTCTAGCCTCTGCTTTGTGCCTCAGCAAAGGAGCTACGCTGAAGTGCAGGAAGAAAGATTGTCTTTGCACACTCCTGTCCTGGTACACCTTCCCACAGGGTGTGCAGAAATCTCTCCCCAGTCTGCCTCACTGCTGCAAGCAGACAGCCTCCTTGTTTCATTTATCACCAAGTCTGCTGGTCCTGTGTAACCCTAAACTCTCACCTGAGGGCATCAGCCATGGTCTGAGGATACTGGTTTATGGCTGGGTCTAGGTGATGAGGTCAAAAAGGTTATTTAAAGGTTCCTCCATCTAAGGCAAGGGAGGAGAGCCATCTTGGGAAACAGAACCAAGCTGAGGCTGCCAGAGTGAGCTCAATCAGGCTCTGAATGTATAAGTGAGTAATTTGCTTGAAATTCAGCTAGTATATAAGGATATATATTTTAGTTCCATATTCAAAGGGTCCTTGTCCCCTTTGGTTTAGCTCCAGGTGTTTTTCTCTATAATCTCTTTGCTCCACATCTACCCCATTCCCTTTCTCCCTGAACAATAAAACGCTACCTGCGTGCAGCGAGCTGGCTGTGGATTCCCATGGAGAGGGGTCAGACAGCCATTATAGCTCCCTTGGCTTGGCTAGCTAAGGTGGGCTTGGCTTTTTCCTTTCCTCCTGTACTGGAGGCTGCTTGTGAATGCTTCAAGCAAATAGGCAGACAAGGTTCCTTGGGTGAATCTGATATCTTTTATTAGACCAACTTAAATAGTTGAAAAACAATTATTAAGCAAGCTTTCGGGTTCAAAAACCCTTCATCAGGCTAAGGAAGTTTCCGTAGTTGGT